TAATGGAGTAAATAATCAAGCAATCAATTTGCAAACATCTATAAGATAATAAGATGATAAGTAACAGTCAGCATGGATTTGTCAAAAACAAATCGTATCAAACCAACCTGATAGCTTTCTTTGACAGGATAACAAACTTTGTGGATGGGGGAAAGCGGTAGATGTGGTATATCTTGACTTTAGTAAAGCTTTTGATACTGTCTTGCCTGACCTTATCATAAACAAACCAGGGAAATGCAACCTAGATGGAGCTACTATAAAGTGGGTGCAAAACTGGTTGGAAAACCGTTCCTAGAGAGTAGTTATCAGTGGTGCAGAGTCATGCTGGAAGGGCATAACAAGTGGGGTACCACAGGGAACAGCTCTGGGTCCGGTTCTTTTCAATATCTTCATCAATGATTTAGATAATGGCATACAGAGTACATCTAAAATTTGCGGACGATACCAAGCTGGGAGGGGTTGCAAGTGCTTTGGAAGATAGGATTGTGATGGGTTGGATCACAGAAACCCCCTTGGGGCTGCCAAATGATGTGCCAAGACTACTTCTGCCCCTGATTTCCCTACCAGCTTGGGACTTGGGAAATGACTGCCTAGGAAGGAGTACTGCAGAAAGCGATCTGGGGGTCATAGTGGACCACAAGCTAAGTATGAGTCAACAGTGTAACACTGTTGCAAAAAAAGCAAACATCCTTCTTAGATGTATTAGCAGGAGTGTTGTAAGCAAGACATGAGAAGTAATTCTTCCACTCTACTCTGCGCTGATTAGGCCTCAACTGAAGTATTGTGTCCAGTTCTAGGCACCACATTTCAGGAAGGATGTCGACAAATTGGAGAGAGTCCAGAGAAGAGCGACAAAAATGATTAAAGGTCTAGAAAACATGACCTATGAGGGAAGATTGAAAAAACAGGAGCGAGGGCACTACAAGACTGAGCGTGCTGTACCATAAACAAAAGATGGCAGTCATTACCAGGCAAGGGAGATGCTATATATGATGTCACTGCTAGGATGAGTCCCATATGAGTATGAGCTTGGCAGGATTGCTCTTCATGACACTGCCATCTCTGACCTCACATTTTTCCTGATTTTATCGGCAGTTAGATTATTTATTTATTTTAAAAAGTTATGAAGGCACGGTCAGAATTTTACCAGTAGCAGCTGACCAAGAAAACCCTGCCTTAGGAGGCTGATAGCAGACTTACTTGTAGAAATACTAATTTTACAAGTGCAATTTTCATTTTTTCTCAGCCCTGGCTTTCTGCCTGTCAAATGAACAATTAGTGAAGGGTAAGGGTAGGATAGGGTAAGGGTATTTGTGTAGTCAGATGTATATATTTTGTCATATTTGAATGAAAATGTCTATATTTAGAGAGAATCTTCTTTTCCCATATCTCCTTTATTTATCAACCAATTTTGATAAAATTTGAAATGGAATCAGTTTTTTTCTTTAGAAGCCTCTCACATTGTGAGGCCCTAAGCTGTAGCTTAGTTAGTTTATGCCTTAATCTGGCGCTGTCTGAAGGCCTTGGCATTTTGGATAGAATGAGATGAACAGGGTACAAGTGGCATGTGTACTCTATATATGCTAGAGATATATCTTTAGAGTACTAGAAGGGGGGGAGGGATAGCTCAGTGGTTTGAGCATTGGCCTACTAAACCCACTTAGGGATCTGGGGCAAAATCAGTACTTGGTCCTGCTAGTGAAGGCGGGGGGCTGGACTTGATGACCTTTTGGGGTCCCTTCCAGTTCTATGAGATAGGTATATCTCCATATATTATATGGCACAACTTTCCAAAGGAGTGCTAAATGTTAGAGTAAAACGATAGAAGAACTATGACCAAGGAATTGTGGAAAGAGAAATTTATTTTGACCAGAAAGATTTCTGGAGCTATAAGAACAGTGATGGGCAACCTGTGGGCCGCACCAGACCGTCAGGGTAATCTGATGGTGGGCTGCAAGACTGTTTGTTTATGCTGACCGTATGCAGGCATGGCCGCCTGCAGCTCCCAGTGGCCACGGTTGACCGTTCCCGGACAATGGGAGCTGCGGGAAGCGATGGCCAGCACATCCCTGCAGTCCATGCCACTTCCCCCAACTCTCATTTGCCAGAAAGGGCAAATCACAGCCACTGGGAGCTGCGGGCAGCCGTGCCTGCGTACGGTCAGCGTAAACAAACAGTCTTGCGGCCCGCCAGTGGATTACCCTGATGGACCACAGGTTACCCACCACTGTATAAGAATATCCTTTTTCTCAACAACAGCAGTGTGGTTTTCAAACAGAGGAACCAATTCAAAAATCTGCTTTTCTGTGGTAATGGTGACTAGAAAGGCCAGCCCTTGGCTTGTCTAACCTGTCATTCTGATTAATCTTGGCATCTGATAATACCTAAATGGAGAAGCCAATGTGCCTCCCTACAGAATGCCACCATGGCCAGTACTCATGTTTCTATGGTGCTTAGTTGTACAACTCCAACCAATCATCCTGGAGAAACTCTAGTATAGCTGAGATTACCAGAACTTTGTGATTGTCATTATATTTGTATTACAGTAGCATCTACAGTTCAGGGACCCACTGTACTGGGTACAATACAAACATTTTTCCTCTTTCCCCTCACATCAGAAACGTAAATTTGTCCACATCAATGAATGAGATTTCCTGGCTGCATTTTTAAATTTTTGTTATGCATGCATGGTGTTACCGCTGGCTGTTTACAGGGAGGAAGTAATATGCTATTCATCCTGGCGTGGGGACCACACAACCAAAGAGAGGTGTGGCTAAAAATACCTCACTGTGGAAGTAGCTTGACTGAGATCCCTGGTAGTCTGCACCCAAGTGAGTAGTGTAAGGACAAACTAGGACCACTTGGACCTTTACTCGGTAAACAGGAGCCATTTTTAACATGAAAATGGATTTCTCACTTTCCCCTTTATCATTCCATGAAGTTTCAGCTTCCTGGGGTGGAATCCTCAGATGCCTCTCTTCTTGTAAAGTTCTCTCAAAAAGCTTTACAATGTGAAATGAAGAACTATATAAAATTAAATTATACTGAAGTATTTTGACATGTGGTTTTATCTTCCAGGTTTTGTCAGTCAGCTATACAAAATGACTAATATTTTGACTGATTTAAAATGAAGCACTGAGGGACAAATTCATCCCCACTGTAACTCCACAAAAGTGAATGGTATTATGTTAATGATGGGTTATTTAACAGTAACTAAATCCCCATACATTATTCTGTGTACAGATCTCAACTCTGGTGAGCTACCTGGATGCCAGCCATTATTAAAAAGAACTATGAACCCATTCTCAGTTTTTGCTTCAGACAATTTTCACACTAAAACCTAAAGTTTACGTAGTAAGCGGAAAACATTCATAAACTAGATCCAGGGCAGACTGTCCTTTTTACCAGATTAACAGCTTTGCTAGCAACACTATGTCCCCATCCTCAAACTTGTGCATGTCCCAAGCTGAGAGAATCACTAATATTATCCTTATACATATGCGCATGCACACACACACACACACACACACACTCTTCAGTAAATACACAGTTCACACAAATAAAATACTAAAAAAACCCCACAACACACACACACACACACACACACACACACACACAGAGAAATCCAATCTAGCAAAACAGCACCTGACATTGGCGTGGCACAGAACACCATCACTCCTCACAAACCTGACCAGGTCAAATCCTGACACTGCCTACTGCCTCTTTGCAAGCCTACGGTGCAGTTGCCCTGCTCCCCACTTGTCTCTACTACTATCTTTGGTTATCGGTTTAAAGGAGTTTGGTCTGTCAAAATGAAGATACAGTATCATATTCTGTACTGCTGTAAAACAGTTAGGTCTGTGAAACTGTCTGCTGCACTTAACTCACTTCATGGGGATCAATGGGTGTGGGGGACAGGCCCAAACTGTGCACCTACAGAACAGCTCAATATGGCAGTGGGTGAACCTCAAAGATTAAGTCCCCCCAGAGTATTCTTCAGAAGAGGAGAATCTGCGCCACTGTTACCATAAAAAGAGGAGTACGTTTGTAACATAAAAGTCTCACCTTTTAATAGCGAAGAGTTCATTAATAGCAGACTTTACATCTGCTGCCATATCCATTTTAGATTTTGTTTCTTGGGCTGCACTAAAAAGTAACATGAAAATATTACAGAGATGTAGGTGTACGGTTTTTGGTAGATCAAAAAATAAAACAAACATTAACTGTAATAGCGATTCTAACATTTTAAGTGCATCTGCAGAACTTCGGTCGTTTTCTTTCAGAAATTCCTCAAATGCAATTGTATCGTCTTCTAGCTTTGCTTCGGCAGAGCTGGCCTCTTTCTCAGCTTGCATTGCTAATTTCTCCAGCTTCTTTATAGTTTGTTTTTTTACTTTTACTGTGTACTATGAAAACAGAGTGGGGAAATGTTATGTACAAAATAATGTCCAAATGTATTTTGCATTTGTATTTCATCATTTCAGGGAGCAAAGTAAACTCAGCAAGATGTGCTCAGAGAGATAGGAATAGCTGTCCTAATTCAGACAAGGATCTACAGCATGAATTAATGTCTAAAATATATTATTTCAATGCTAAGTTTACAGATACAGTGTCAAGAAATACAAAATACAAAATCAAGAATCCGATAGTTATATTTTTCAATCACACTACATATACCAAGCCTGATTCTCCACTGTCCTAAGGCCCCTTTATGCTGTTTTGGCAACAGAACGAGACCTTAGAGCAGTGGTTCCCAAACTTTAACAACCTGTGAACCCCTTTCACTAAAATGTTAAGTCTCACAAACCCCCTCCTAAAAATGAATATATCCAGGGATTTTCTCCTTTACCTGAGTATAAATTATAAAAGTAGTGATCTTGGAAATATAAAATTTGTTTTTATGACATGCTTATTACACACTATTTATTATTAATTATTATTCATCATTACAGTATTTTATTACATTATGAAAACGGCAACACTCTTCCAAGATCTCACTTTCCTTTCGTAGCTTGTATCATTTTGAATAAGCCTGTTATAAGACAAGGCTCCTGTCAAGGCTGTATCCCCACTTTGAACTTTAGGGTACAAATGTGGGAGCCTGCATGAAAACTTCTAAGCTTAACTACCAGCTTAGCTCTGGTCCGCTGCCACCATTCCCAAAAACTAATTCCCTTCCCTGGGTAGCCTTGAGAAACCTTTCACCAATTCCCTGGTGAATACAGATCCAAACCCCTTGGATCTTAAAACAAAAGAAATTAACCATTCCCCTCCTTCCTCCCACCAACTCCTGGTGAATACAGATCCAACCCCCTTGGATCTAAAAACAAGGAAAAATCAATCAGGTTCTTAAAAAGAAGGCTTTTAATTAAAGAAAAAGGTAAAAATCATCTCTGTAAAATCAGTATGGAAAATAACTTTACAGGGTAATCAAACTTAAAGAGCTCAGAGGACCTCCCTCTAGCCTCAGGTTCAAAGTATAGCAAACAAAGATAAACACTCTAGTAAAAGGTACATTTACAAGTTGAGAAAACAAAGTAAAACTAAGACGCCTTGCCTGGCTTTTTACTTACAAGTTTGAAATATGAGAGACTTGTTTAGAAAGATGGGGAGAACCTGGATTGATGTCTGGTAGGGTTACCATACATCAGGGTTTCCCCGGACA